TGACCGCGAGCCCGTTCCCAACAATGAGGGGGTGGATTATAGCTTGCGGGACAATGATCTTCGAAAGCACCTTGCTGATAAAAAGAAGAGAGCGTCGCGAGGACCAGAGGACTCTCCGTCTTACTCCCGAGAGTTCTCCAACTCCGACCTCAAGGCTCAGTCAAAGTATAAGCCTTTGACACCAAAAGGTGTGATCACGAGKGAAGAGTTCGACCTGATGAAACACAGGTTCGACGAACAGGTCGAGGCACTTAAGGCTAGGTGCGAGAAGAAGGAGAACTCGTTTGACGATAGCGACCTGGGAGAATCGTCATTCACCTCGGACATTTTGAAGGCTCCAATCCCTCAAAAGTTCAAGACTCCCACCATGAAGCCTTATGATGGGTCTAAGGACCCAAAAGACTATGTTGAGGTCTTCAAAGGCCTCATGGACTTTCAAGCGGCAACAGATGCAATCAAATGCCGCGCCTTCCAGATCGCGCTCACCGGCAGAACGCACATGTGGTATCGAAGACTACCGGCCAGGTCGATCTCGACCTATTCTCAGTTGAGGAAAAAGTTTATCAGTCAATTCTCTTCTCGGCATTACGATAGAAAGACAGCAACTCACCTCGCCACTATCAGACAGAAAGAAGATGAGACGCTGAGAGAATATGTCACAAGGTTCCAGGAGGAGCAGCTGAAAGTCGCGCACTGCTCCAATGATTCGGCCATGTGCTACTTCCTCACCGGCCTGGCCGATGAGACCCTCACCGTGAAGCTTGGAGAGGAGGCTCTAACTACCTTTACCGAAGTGCTACAGAAAGCGAAGAAAGTCATTGATGGACAAGAGCTCCTTCGAACCAAGACTGGCCGACCAGAAAAGAAAATTGACTAGGGGAGAGCTGGCAAAGATAAAGGAAAGACTGATCCCAAGTCCAAAGATAAGTGACCATCCTCCTCCAGTAGCCGAACTGAGTATCGTAGGTCGAAAAATGGCCCCAGTCGAAGCCGACCTTACGAACGTTATACTCCGACCACCATCCCCATCTCTGAAATACTTACAAACATCTAGGAAAATGGGATGGAGAAGCTCCTCAAGCGACCTAAGAAGCTCCGAGGAGACCCAGAAAAACGTAATAAGAATAAATATTGTCGTTTTCATCGCGATCACGGCCATAATACATCAAATTGCTGGGAGTTAAAACGCCAAATTGAAGACCTCATTCAAGATGGCTACTTCAAAAAATTTGTTGGAAAACCGAGGTCCAACTCGGTAGAGAAGAAAGAAGAAAAGAAGCGTTCAAGGACGCCACCTCGTCGAGATGACTGACCTGCAGTCATCAACACTATTTTCGGGGGCCCTAGTGGGGGCCAGTCCTGAAATAAAAGGAAAGAGCTAGCTCGTGAGGCCAGGCGCGAGGTATGCATCATCAGCAGAAACCAACTTGCTCCATTGCCTTCGGCGATGCCGATCTGGAGGGGGTACACTTGCCCCACAATGATGCACTCGTGATCGCTCCCCTCATCGATCATGTTCTGGTCAGAAGAGTGTTGGTAGATGGAGGCGCGTCTGCCAACATTTTGTCCCGTTTGACATATCTGGCCTTGGGATGGACCAGATCTCAGCTGAAGAAAAGTCTATCTCCCTTGGTTGGATTCTCTGGAGAATCGGTCTCTCCAGAAGGGTGTATCGACTTGCCGGTTACGATTGGGCAAGATGATACACAGGTAACCCAGATGGCCGAGTTCGTTGTGATCGACGGAAGGTCGGCCTACAATGCCATCTTCGGGAGACCCGTCATCCATTCGTTCCGGGCCATTCCCTCAACACTTCATAAAGTCCTGAAATACTCAACTCCTAATGGAATGGGCACGGTCCGAGGAGAGCAGAG